AAAAAGAATGTATAAACATAAAAAAAATGTCTTAAAATAATTGTCGGACTTTGTCCATTTCATAAATGTGTGTATATATATATATATATATATATATATATATATATATATATATATATATATATTGGCGGCGTCCGTTTCTCTTTGCGAGATAAAGATATTCATTTATTTTAAAATATTTTGTATCCTTCATTGTTTTAACATAAGTTTGGTAAGTACACCACAATTGAATATATTAGGCATCCGTTTATCCCGCGAGATGAAGTTAACTCCCTGTCTGGGCAAAATTTAGTCAATTGGTGATGAAACTGGATTGGCCTGGACGATGGTATATGGAGGTCGTGTGCTGCACCTTGACTTTATAGGTAGAACTTAATAAAACAAAACGCATCGGCTACTCAACTCCGTAACAGGTAACTGTACGAAAATTTATTCGGCATATGATAGGAGAATATTTTTTCATATAATCGTCAGTGTGCAATATACAAAAAAAAAAGAAGTGTCTTCAGTTTTGAGCCGTGTAACTTTCTTGTAAAAATATTACAGACCATATATATTGTCTTTACAATCTCCCCTCTGTAATCAGAAGGAGTGGGATTTAGACATGGATATGATTTTCCCATGATATGTTCATATAGATACATTGTTATATTGTAAATATATTTGTATACCATCATAAATATCCACTATATAAGTCGGTATGTATACACCTTTTAAGTCCTTAACCGAGCACTAAAAAAGGAGGGACGAAAATCGAGTATTTTTTTTCGTTTTTCATATTTTCGTATCTGCTGTCTACGATAGTTTTATACGGTTTCCATGCTCGTCAAAAAAAAAAGAAAAAATTGTTTCAATGGTTGGAGGAAAATTTTGTATCCGCAAGAAAATATAAAAAGTAAAAATAGATTATCAGTTGAAAGTTTCAGTCTTAAGGGACATTGCAATGATTAGGCCCTATTTTCAATGCTCTGGGAGATACAGAATACATATATAAAATATTCGTCGCCACTCTGTCTTGATCTAAATGTCCACTCTTAGATCTCTCTCATCTCTCTCTCCACACACACACACACACACACACACACACACACACACATATATATATATATATATATATATATATATATATATATATATAATAAAATCTTTATATATTAGGAAAAAAACACCGTCATTAAATCTGACCAGCTTTGGACCGTTCGGCTACGGAGTGCGTCGATGATCAAGCAATGGTGTCTACTGCCTTTAAATACATACTGTTCTAGCGCATAGTTTTCTCTAATAAGATTTCTCGAATGTTCAGGCTCCTACGAGCCTGAAAATAAATAAATATACTGTTTGATAAATAAACGGAGTATTTGATCAAAAAAAGAATGACCAGGGAAAATATTATTTATACAATAAAAATCTGTCGGATTAAAAAATAAAGAAAATACACCCCCTTTTCTTTAGAAATTGCTTTATGTTAGGATACGAAACTTAGCAGATATGAATGTTTCATGAGTCAGAGAGAAAATTGCATATGTCACTCTAATATATATATATATATATATATATATATATATATATATATATATATATATATATATATATGAAACATCGAATAAAAATACAAAATTATCCCATTTGAATAGCTATTTTCGACTCACAAGACTTCCTTGTAGGCCTTGTCAACTCACAGTTATGAAGAAATAAGAGCTTAAAAAATTAAACATTTAAAAATAAAAGAAAACGAAGAAGAAAGAGAGAAAAAACAGAAAAAGACAAATGGGTAAAAGAAAGAAAGAAAGAAAGAAGAGTGAAAAGGAAGTATCATATGCAAATTTAAATAAACTCTCAATATTATGATAGTAGTGGTGGGAGTATCTGCTCTATGTCAAGAAAGCAGTTAAAGTAACCTTAACCTATACTTAAAATATTAACATTTAGTTTATAAAGGAAAATTACTTAAAAGTATTCAAAATTTAAGAAATGTTTTTTGAGAAAGAGTAGGTAAAAAGGTAGCATCTAAAATTGAACATTACATTAAAACAATGCATAATATAAAAATAATACATTTAATATAATAAATAAAACAGAATAGAATAATTATTGAAAAAATAAAAATGACATTATAAAATAAAATAAAATTTATTAAATATAAACAAATAAATATTAAATAGAATTTTAAAATTAAATTAATATCAATAAATAATAAATAATTATTAAATATAATATAAATAAAATTTTAAATATAAATTATATAAAATATTAAAATAAAATATTAAATAAAATAATTATTAAATAAAATAATACAGTAATAAATAAGAACCAAAATAAAGAAAATAAAATGGAATAATAATAATAATAATAATAATAATAATAATAATAATAATAAATAAATATAGAAAAATAATTAAAAGAGCAAAATGATAAATGAATAAGAAAAGTAATGATGGTAAAAATAAAAGAAAATAATAATAGTGATAAAAATAGATTGAAGATAAAAATATTGATAAAAATTTAGAGGAAGGTTATTTGATAGGATTGAAATAGAGTAGAAATAATGATATATGTATTAGGTGATAACAGATTAAACAAGATCAGTAATATTCTAGATCAGTTTGAATCTACTCTTGTGTCGACATTTGATAATTAACTCAATCCTTTGGTTTAGTAGTATGCTTTCCTTATCGAATTTAATTATTCTAATCTTCCCTTCTAAACACCGATTACATCTACCCTTAAAATTATTAGAAGTCTGAGCAATGAATTTTATTTTTTCAATTTAATTGGGTGCGTACGTTGTGTGTATGTTTTAGTGTTATAAAGATGTTTTATTTTCCGAATACAGCACATTGTGACCGTGTTGTTAGTTGATATTATGAAGTGTTGGCTTTTTCTTTTTCTTTTACACACAACACACACACACAATTAAATTGAAAAAATAAAATCATCCTTGATAATTGGTAAAAGAATATCAGAAAGCACTCGGAATTATAGAATATTTAGACAGTTTCTACACACCCTGTATCCAAATAAGAAAACACTTGTTCGAACAAAAGAAAAATTAAATAAAAAGCTTAGTCGTAGTACCTTGTGTGTCGTTTTAAATGAAACATGCATTAATGAAGGATTGCTGCCTAAACACACACACACACACACGTGTGTGTGTGTGTTTGTTTGTTTGTGTGTGTATTTTGTTCTTGGGTGCTTATAATTGGCTCAAAGTTTTCATTAGTCATTGAATAACTTTACTCGAAATCTTACCGGTATTTTCTCGCTTTTATCCTGCCCTCGGCTATCTGAGAGGTTTCCAACACCTAAACCAACTGGATATGTTGTTTTTGAGGTAATTCGAAGCCTGCACTAGATTTAGTATTTGTTTTTTTTTTGTGTATGTGTGTGTCGGGTGGGTAAATTCAGTTAAGCACCAGTTTCGCCAAAGAAATACATACAACGCGTACACATTCCCCGATGGCAAGACATTCATTAAAGCCGAAACTGATGTAACGCAAAACTGTTTGATGGCTGAGTTAGTTGAACCTCGCCTCAAACACTCGGAATATGAACCCAACTTTAAACACCAACTTCGAAGGATGTTTTTCTATGCAGACAGGTAATCTTCGATATGGTATCTTCGAATTTTCCACCGAATCTCTTTTGGCCCTGGTAACATAAGTAAAAATCCCTTATATTCATATCATCCTTAAAGTATTGTATCGCTGATCATTGAAGTTAAGCAACGTCGAACTTGGTCAGCACTTACATGGGTGACCGATTCAAAACACCACGTCATAGCCTGAAACTGATCCCATTCTCACTCGCCTGCTGAAGTCTCGTTTTAAAAACCACGATAACAATACATAAATATTGTTTTCAAATTGCATATAAATCACATTTATAATGACACGGGGCTAAAATCGGAGACGAGTTCCAATTCTTGTCGAGTTTGTTATATTTTCTTATGTTCAAATACCGTGGAAAAGTATAAATTCCTTCCCCACCTATGGGTTAAATAGTAAAAGAGTAAATCATTATTATCGCCAAGAACAATCTTACTATCCAATAATCTAGCTTTAAATAACCTCTAGAACAATCTTACAATCAAATAATCTAGCTTTAAATAACCTGTAGAAGGTTGATAAACCGTAAAATACAAATCATAAATGGCTTTCATAGACGCCAGTCAAAATTGCTTTAACATGTCATTTATTAGGAATGTACAATAATAAAACTAGCTGGAGACTTTTGGCGCCTACTCTACATGCACACAAGAAAATACAGAAATAAATTGGCTTAGAGTCAAATCCCGCTGAAACATGGGTCCCTATTTGATCACCAAACTGTGCAGTTCGATAATTGGCAGCCGATATAAAAACTACCTACAATCTTTTGTTAACTGGGTCAATGAATGTCTTAATTTTAACGCTCCAAAACAAAACCGCTGTCTTTTAAGCACCTGAAAGAAACCCTTTTTCCCTTTCATAAGCATGGCTGATGCTAACCTCCGGAAGAGTCACTCATCAAGACTTCTCTGACAAACATTTTCCGCTAAAATGGCGGAAAGATTATATCGAATCAATTGCTAGATTTGCTGCTAGGAAAGTTAGTTTACTATGTCGTGCTAGACAATATTTCTGGCCAGAATCTATCTTACATTTATATCTATCATTTCTCGAGACCGACGGATGCCATATATAAGTGCATTGTCAAGAAGATAATATTGAAGCAATTCAGGTGGAAAATAAAGGCCTTTTCTTACCAGTAACTGCAGAATAATTGAGGTAGATATACTGTATATGGGTGCACCTCCAAAATTCTAGATAACCAGAATCTGGCAGCTGATCTCTTTTCTGATTTCGCTCTAACAGCTCAGTGGATAAAAAAAAAACTGGCTAGTCACGTTCAAGGCTTCGGTGAAGTTTCATCATCACTGAGCAGACACTAAATTTTTGTCTATCGCTATGGACGTCAGTTCTCTCAAGGATCACTGTGCCTTTTTCACCTGTTCTCTCAAGGATCACTGTGCCTTTTTCACCTGTTCTCTCAAGGATCCCTGTGCCTTTTTCACTTGTTCTCTCAAGGATCCCTGTGCCTTTTTCACCTGTTCTCCCAGGGATCACTGTGCCTTTTTAACCTGTTCTCTCAAGGATCACTGTGCCCTTTTCACCTGTTCTCTCAAGGATCACTGTGCCTTTTTCACCTGTTCTCTCAATGATTACTGTGCCTTTTTCATCTGTTCTCCCAGGGATCACTGTGCCTTTTTTTCACCTGTTCTCTCAAGAATCACTGTGCCTTCTTCACCTGTTCTCTCAGGGATCACTGTGTCTTTTCATCTGTTCTCTCAGGGATCACTGTGCATTTTAACCTGTTCTCTCAGGGATCACTGTGCCTTTTTCACCTGTTCTCTCAAGGATCACTGTGCCTTTTTCACCTGTTCTCTCAGGGATCATCACTGTGCCTTTTTCACCTGTTCTCTCAGGGATCACTGTGCCTTTTTCACCTGTTCTCTCAAGGATCCCTGTGCCTTTTTCACCTGTTCTCTCAATGATTACTGTGCCTTTTTCATCTGTTCTCCCAGGGATCACTGTGCCTTTTCACCTGTTCTCTCAAGAATCACTGTGCCTTCTTCACCTGTTCTCTCAGGGATCACTGTGTCTTTTTCATCTGTTCTCTCAGGGATCACTGTGCATTTTTAACCTGTTCTCTCAGGGATCACTGTGCCTTTTTCACCTGTTCTCTCAAGGATCACTGTGCCTTTTTCACCTGTTCTCTCAGGGATCACTGTGCCTTTTTCACCTGTTCTCTCAGGGATCACTGTGCCTTTTTCACCTGTTCTCTCAAGGATCCCTGTGCCTTTTTCACCTGTTCTCTCAAGAATCACTGTGCCTTTTTCACCTATTCTCCCAGGGATCACTGAGCCTTTTTAACCTGTTCTCTCAAGGATCACTGTGCCTTTTTCACCTGTTCTCTCAATGATCACTGTGCCTTTTTCATCTGTTCTCCCAGGGATCACTGTGTCTTTTCACCTGTTCTCTCAATGATCACTGTGCCTTTTTCACCTGTTCTCTCAATGATCACTGTGCCTTTTTCATCTGTTCTCCCAGGGATCACTGTGCCTTTTCACCTGTTCTCTCAAGAATCACTGTGCCTTTTTCACCTGTTCTCTCAGGGATCACTGTGTCTTTTTCACCTGTGGGATCACTCTTTTCACCTGTTCTCTCAAGGATCACTGTGCCTTTTCACCTGTTCTCTCATGGATCACTGTGCCTTTTTCACCTGTTCTCTCAGGGATCACTGTGCCTTTTTCACCTGTTCTCTCAGGGATCACTATGCATTTTCACCTGTTCCTTCAAGGATCACTGTGCCTTTTCACCTGTTCTCTCAGGGATCACTGTGCCTTTTTTCACCTGTTCTCTCAGGGATCACTGTGCCTTTTTCACCTGTTCTCTCAATGATCACTGTGCCTTTTTCATCTGTTCTCCCAGGGATCACTGTGCCTTTTCACCTGTTCTCTCAAGAATCACTGTGCCTTCTTCACCTGTTCTCTCAGGGATCACTGTGTCTTTTTCACCTGTTCTCTCAGGGATCACTGTGCCTTTTTCACCTGTTCTCTCAGGGATCACTGTGCCTTTTTCACCTGTTCTCTCAGGGATCACTGTGCATTTTCACCTGTTGTCTCAAGGACCACTGTGCCTTTTTCACCTGTTCTCTCAAGTATCCCTGTGCCTTTTTCACCTGTTCTCCCAAGGATCACTGTGCCTTTTTAACCTGTTCTCTCAAGGATCACTGTGCCTTTTTCACCTGTTCTCTCAATGATCACTGTGCCTTTTTCATCTGTTCTCCCAGGGATCACTGTGCCTTTTTCACTTGTTCTCTCAAGGATCACTGTGCCTTTTTCACCTGTTCTCGCAATGATCACTCTGCCTTTTTCATCTGTTCTCCCAGGGATCACTGTGTCTTTTCACCTGTTCTCTCAATGATCACTGTGCCTTTTTCACCTGTTCTCTCAATGATCACTGTGCCTTTTTCATCTGTTCTCCCAGGGATCACTGTGCCTTTTTCACCTGTTCTCTCAAGGATCACTGTGCCTTTTTCACCTGTTCTCTCAATGATCACTGTGCCTTTTTCATCTGTTTTCCCAGGGATCACTGTGTCTTTTCACCTGTTCTCTCAAGAATCACTGTGCCTTTTTCACCTGTTCTCTCAATGATCACTGTGCCTTTTTCATCTGTTCTCCCAGGGATCACTGTGTCTTTTCACCTGTTCTCTCAAGGATCACTGTGCCTTTTTCACCTGTTCTCTCAATGATCACTGTGCCTTTTTCATCTGCTCTCCCAGGGATCACTGTGCCTTTTCACCTGTTCTCTCAAGAATCACTGTGCCTTCTTTACCTGTTCTCTCAAGGATCACTGTGCCTTTTTCACCTGTTCTCTCAGGGATCACTGTGCCTTTTTCACCTGTTCTCTCAGGGATCACTGTGCTTTTTTCATCTGTTCTCTCAAGGATCACTGTGCCTTTTTCACCTGTTCTCTCAGGGATCCCTGTGCTCTTTTCACCTATTAGAATTTTTAGCTATTTCAAATCTTAGAGATTGATTCTTTCTAGGCGTTTACTTGCTGATATAAATAATGGCAACTTTTTTTTTTACTCCAATGTAAATCGGGCTTAGATGTACCTATTTATTAATTAACTGTCGTATAAGTCTGAAATTAAACTACATCCGCTGCAGGGCCGCTGATCGAAAGGTTTTAAGGATCGAAGAACCACCTCTTAATTGCTATTGTTTCAAGGCCCACCCGGCAGTTAAGAGGTATTTCCACGCTCCTCAAGACCTCCCAATCAGAGGCCTTACTGCTGGGTGTGGTTTATCGTCATACCTAGGATACCCACACATCGTTGATATCTCGTTAAATTAAGTGGTCTAACTAATTTATTCCTTCGTGTTTAACGTGTCAACTTTGTATTTATTAATATCGGATTTTAACCTGTGGAATCACGTGCGTCGCACATCACATCCGAGATAATTCGAGTTAATGAAACAATTATCTAAGTATTTTATATTAACATAATTATCCGACATTGAATAAGCCATCAGCGGACTCATCACATTTTACTTAATCTCGTCCACTATTTAAAATCTCGTAGCTTTCTTCGGCGACGACCAAAAGTTAGGAAGAGATCAATTTCAACTGTTTGGTCAGTGTCAATGCAAGGGTCATTCTGACTGAGTAACCCCACGTAAGAATGTCAGTTCAGGAAAACGCAGTAAGGTTCTAATTGATTGCCGGATCATATTTATATTTAAATCTACGCAAAACTGCCTTCGATATAATCAAAATTGTCATTTACTTTCCAAATTCATACTGTACTTGTCTATTAAAAAAAATAAAGTCTCCACTGTTCGAAGCTGGATACAAACTGTATATAATACATGACACACGCTTCTAGACACAAAGTTACCAGAAAAAATGACGAATAAATAAGGCAATTTCTTTTTCGCGTTTCTCTATTTTTGTGCGTGTGTGCACACGTCTCTTTAAAAAAAAATCATTATTTCTTTTTCGGCTAATCGCTTTCGTTAAAATTCTCGTCGGAGAAACACATAATGGTGAATAAATTCGCTTTATTCGCTTGTGTTGCATTAATGTCTGAAGACACCTCAGTGAGATTAGTGTCAAGATTAGACACGGATTTCATCTACGCACACCTTCAGATTACAATAACACAAAGCTCTTTGTATACAATTTTAAAAAAAGAGGAATTCCTCTGCTATTTTGTCCTGAGATTCAAAGAAACGTTCTTTGCGTATAACAGTGTTTCGTGATATTAAAAACTCGCATATATGTATGTACACATATATCAATAATCCTATATATATATATATATATATATATATATATATATATATATATATAAAAATGGACAAAGTCCAACAATTATTTTAAAACATTTTTATGTTTATAGATACAAATATTTAAGTAAATACTCTGTTTATAATAAACAGTATTAATAACATTTACCGGCCTGAATGTCCGAAAATTTTTCATAGAAAATATTCATTCTCCGAATTGAGCAGATATGAATGTATGTGAGAGATCCATGGAAGATTGTAGTTTTAAAGCAGTAAAATCGACTACACTAACCGAACGATCCTCTGTGGCTCAATCGGTTAAGGTACGTCAGGCTATATGACGGCTCCGTATAGGATACAGGTTCGATTCCTGTCATAGGACATATTTTCTATGAAAATTTCTCGGACATTCAGTTAGCATTCATTAATTAATGGAATAAATAAAAATAATTTAAATTTGAAAGATATTTTCAGTGAACAGATATAATTTCCTCACAATATATTGGGGAAACATTTAGAAATATATATATATATATATATTTGTTGTATTGATAATGTTATAATTTATGAATATGTCCTGAAGATGGTTTATTAGACCGAAACGTCCGACGTTGACATATTAACATTAAAACAGCATAATTGTATATAAGGATTTTTGTTTTTTTTTTTTTCCGTATATATTTTACTTTATATATATATATATATATATATATATATATATATATATATATATATATATATATATATATATATAGACAGACACAAAGAGAACTTATACATAAAAATTTATCAAATGCACTAGTCATATACAGAAATAAATTCCACCACCATTTTTATCTACAAAATGCTAAACTTATCAAAATGTATTAAATATTATTCGCTCTTTTTTTGTCTTACCAAACTTTGAATTATGGCACTTTGTATCCTCTATATATAAGGGACATTGAAATCAATATGCAGAAGGGACAGTCTGTTTCATGCTGAATGCAGTTGTCAGGCCATATGCTCAACTATTTATATATACAGGTCAGTGATACATTATGGGTAGCTTATATTATTCTAACGGTTATTTTGATAGGAGGTAACGGGTATATTTCCAATTATTTTAGCGCCTATTGTGTCGAAATACGTCTGTATCTGGATGTAGTTTTGGAGTTTTTATAGTTTTGTTTGTTACATTTTTTATTATGATTGATTATTTTATTGTTGGTTGTTATTATTAACATTACTTGTAATTATGTGTACGTTCATAGAGTGTTAATTTGTTTATTATTTAATAGTTTATTGCTTTAGATTAATTTATTTTAATTATTCTTGCTTGTTTTCAGTTTTCAATTTTTAAGTAACGTAGTAAAAATTCGTTTTCGTGTCTGCATTTTGAGATGAGTTCTGATCGTTTATTTAGTAGTTTGTGTTGGTCTGGGAAGGTAATTATAACTATTTTCTCATCCAGAAAGAGTTTACAGGTGTCGATTTATATAGGCTGATGCTATTTTCCTTATTTTTCATGATATTTTTGGTGTGATTTTTGTTTTGCCTCACAGATATGATTAGAAAGCATTGTACTGTTCACGTATTTACTATTAGTAAAGGATGTTTTGTGTGCGTAGTTTTTTCTTTCTAGGATCCTTCAGTAACACCTATGTATATTTTTCTTCTCTATTTACTGATTTTACATTGGCTTGATATATTTCATTGTTCTGCAAGGATAGTTTATCCACAAATTCGACAACACTCAATACCTTATCCAACTTGTGCGAGCAGAATAAAGTTTTTTGCATGTACTGTTCTGAAGTTTGTGGTATTGGGGTGTATTTTTTTAACTGGGTTAAATTACAAATCTAATTCGCTGTCAATCCTTTACTATATATATATATATATATATATATATATATATATATATATATATATATATATATATATATATATATTCTACTCTGTATGTGTATCTGTACGCATATATGGTTAATAAAATAAAAAAAATAAACAACAACTCTGTAACGAGTCTCATCCTCGAAACTGAATTCATCTGTGTAATGTGATGTTCTTATTGATGTTAATAGTAGTGGTAATATTAGCCATTTCCTTATAAGGAAACTTTCAGCAATCATTGACCAGGCACCCAATTCTGCTTTCGGTTGAAAATTAAAACAATTTTTCAGGAGCATACGTTTCTCACGTCTACTAGCTGTTACTGATGAGGTATCTTTTTCCTAACCTTTTTATTTTAAAGTATTGTGGAAAGATAACATCCTGCTTTTGCCATTTCTAGTTAAAATTTTCGTTATGTCATGACAGCAGCAGTTTTTCAATCAAAATTGTAGTCACTCTCAGCGAGCAACTAATGCATTTAGTTCGTTGTTTGTAAAAGATCCATTTTGTGTTCATATATCCTTTTATTTAATTTCATTGAGGTTTCTCCAATGTATTCCTTGTGGCAATTATTACAGTTAATAGAGAAAATTCATTCTTCAAGTTTTAGTTTATTATTTTTTTGCATTAATTGAGTGTTGTATTGTTTTAAATAAAATGAATGAGTTGTTCACCGTAACGAAATTGATCACAATTTTGATTTCAAGATGCTACTATAATTAAAGGAGAAAACAATTTACTAACACGAAGATATTACAATACTTTAACCACTAGATCATCCAGAGTAAACTTGCGTCCAGGTTCTTACAACATTTCACCATTCTTAGTAAATATTCTATTATCAGAAAAGTGATGAAAACCTAAAAAAAGAAAAAAAATGTCTCTAAATGAAATACGGTAGGAAATGTTATACGGTAGGACGGGGGAAACAAATATTCGTACACATTCAAATTTATAATTTATTGTATTTCCAACTAATGAATAAACTAATGATGAATACAATGCAAATTTCAGATCTTAGAACTTTTACATTGCTTTAATACTCTAGATTATTCATGTGGAATATTCTAGAATGTTCCAATAATGTTATCAGTAGATCTCAAATAGAAACAGAACATTCTGTAATTGATACTCGTGCAAGAAGGTTATCATCCTGGCAAGAGGTAGGAATTGACAAATTTGCAAAAAAAAAAAAACAAAAAAAAAACTGATTGTTAAAATCTGGAAATAAAGCAAAAGTTACATGAAAACCTTTCCATTTACTACCATTAGTTCATTCATTGCAATGCATGAAAAATTCAAAATGTTGAAAATCAAAGAAAAACAGGTGCTCCATAGAAGATTTCTTCAAGGAAATTAATGTCTCAAATTAAACAAAATCCAATGATTACTCGTCAAGAGTTGCAGGATGATTACATTTCATCAGGAATCTGTGTCATTAAACGGACAATGAGATTTATAGGAACAATTTAAAGTCACGCTCCCTTAGGAAAGCTCCACTGTTACTGAAAAGACAAATATGCCAGGTTGAAATTCGTTCGTGAATATAAGGATAAGGAACAATCGTATTGGGAAAGAGTATTATGGACAGAAGAAAATAAAATTGAGCTAATTGGACGTAATTCTTGAAATCATGTATGGAGGAAAGATGGTGATAGCTTCAAACAAAAGAACATAGTTCCAACAGTGAAATTTGGTGATGGCAGCATCATGATTTTGGGATGTTTTTCTGCTACTGTCAACATATCAGTAATAGATAGTAAAATGAATGCTGCAGCATATCAGAATTATTTTGGAAGCAAATTTAATGATTTCGATTGAAAATCTTGAACTTTCTCCTAATTGGATCTTCCGACAAGATAATGATCCTAA